CTCCCAGATTGGATTCCCTGTGGTTCCAATCGGCCACCTGGATTCCTCACGCATAACGTATATCGTAGCTAAATGTTATCCTCTTTCGCATTAATCATGGCTAACAAAGAACAAGTTTTCGCATACTTTCTTAAAGTTTGAAGAAATACCAATATCTACAGGATGTAAATTTATGAGTGAAATATAAACTCTACACTTACATAAGTCATAGTTACAATACAGTTCAAGTGTAGAGCCGTTCAACTGTGTTTCTTCAACTACAATGATGCCTTCCGCTGTGTCGATAAAACAGAGCTTAGTCCTACCCTCACTTTCCCGCTCTCTCTCTCTCTAAGAAGGTCAAACAATCACCTGTAACCAATGCACTGTATCGTTCCTTCGCCCACAGACAACAGTTTACGAAAAACAATGGGTACAACTCTTAGCTGCTGATTTCCACTAACAGAATTCTTCAAGGATTCACTACGCCTCTGTTTCGTTTTTGTCCACTTACAATCTTGATTCCATGTCTGTTTTTTGAAAATCCTCTACTGTCAATAGGCGAACGATGTTAGCATCAATTTTCTACATTTTTCCATTGACCCCCGATTCGAGCATATCACTCACTGCGTACTCACTGGTCCTCACACAGACATCCTTAGAGTGAACCTCTTTCAATTGTATACATGTTTTATTTTCTTCGCTAAAGGGCATAAACTGGATGCAAATAGTGAACTCTAACCAACGGAGAACGAGATTCCAGAAAGTGGTTCGTCAAACACACCAGAGCGACTATTTCCCCTTGATCATTCATGATCACTTCATATCGGCGAGACATTCCACAAATACCTGTATCTCTTTTTTTCGGTTATTCACTTGAAAGCGCTATCTAAGCACAACCCACGCACAGAACCACATTGTCTTTTCTCACGTTCTTCCCCGTTGGTCTTGCGCATCCCTCGATGATAGTTCCAGGTCTTCTTGTCAAACACTTCAAATCCATGAAACCAATCCAACATTTATGTCGTGAATGTATTGTACAGATTTTAATTTCACAGTTCTTTATTGCTTGACAGAAAAGTTATACAAGAATACCGCACGGCCCTGTCCACTCGGATCATTAGCAAATGCGTATCTATGCCCAGTGTCTCCCCAAGCTGGAAACGTAGTGCAGAGCACAGATTTCAGCTGTGCTTTATATGTACGTGTACCAGATGAAACTTTCTCAAATGACAAAGCGTGATCAAAACTCACTGACGAACACACACGCTATGTTGAATCATTTGCGCTCCGGAGATGAGAGTTGACCGGTTTTGTCTTGAATTTTCACCGTTATTGGGAGTCACTACCAGATATCATTACTATGGTTTCACAGCCCTCCAGCCCGAGAGAAACTGAATTCCGATTTCATAGCGGCTGAAATCATTCCATGCCAAATCTTTGTGATGCCGTGCCTAAATTCTGATTGTGATATTCACATTGTATTGATACAGTCATGGCGAAGCCGGGCGAACTGGATTCACGTTCCACCCACCCAACCCCCAGTTCTCATTCAAATTCGTTCACAGTCGCCTGTCTGTCATACAATCGTGTACAGGGCGTTTTCCGTCGGCTGGCTGATTGACTGAGTAAACTTCGGGCATCCATTTTCCGTCTGTGATACGCTTTGCAATGTTGACCTCTGAGTAAGGTTCATTACTCAAAGCAATTTTATACATGAATTACTTGACTACTTGCAGCGTTTGTAAGTCACAACACCGTAAATCTTGATCGGGGTTGCATTGCGTACGAGTTGTCTCATCCCTTCACTGTCAATTCAAGGTTTACCTTGTTCCTATGATACTTTGCAATCAACTCCAAACGGTCCTTGATCGACTGACGAAGAGTATGTGAACAAGTAAAGATAACAACCAATATAATGACTGTTTGATCGTTACTCGGTCCTTATACACCAAAAGTAAACTAGATTACCACTAACGGTAAAACTATAATAGCAAGCCTTATCAAAGCGGATGACTCAGGGTGGCTCAACGTTTTAGCATCTGCTTGGATTCGGTTAGAAAAATACTGCTCGTAAGTTGAAACAGTTGAATGGTACCTGTGGTGATCCAGGCCTACACGATGGCGCCTACCCTGGAGTGGCGCGTTACAGTTTCAGGACATTTGCGATCAATCAAGTTTGAATGTTGATGTCAATGACACGTGCATGGCTTCTGAATACACGTCATTGGTGGATGGTGCCAGCCAATCCAAGACAGTGCAGACAGAAGCAGAATTACGCAAGCAGTACTGCAATCCCATTGGTGGAAGCCCAGATGGCCAATAATCTCCATTTGAACATACTATTTAATCACCTTCATTTCTTCCAATAAACGAACTACTGCTTACTACCATTCCCGTGGCCGTTTCCTCGCGTCTCGTTCTCGTGGGACATTGCGAATCCGTTCCATTGTGGTTCAGCGCTTCGGAGTTCCAGTACATGATAGCTGATTATTGATTCGGGTCCTGTGCTTCATATTGTGTGGTTGGTGTTCTGAATTCCGTGCGTATTACTACTACTACTACAATCATTACTTAGTGTGACTTCTTCTAGCTGTGGCTCAATGTTTTAACAGATGTTCGATGGGTTCGACTAAGAGCGATGGTTTGATGTAATCATCCGTTTTCCGAACACGCTTAGAGAAATAAAATTTGCATCTTCGATCAGTCAAGTGTCATCGCATAAGTCTTTTTCATTTCGAATCGCCCGCATTGAGCATCGCTTCATAACTGATTCTCTGCAGCATAGAATTCATAACTTATCCTCCTGTGCGAGTCCGACAATCACACGATCGATCGGGTTCATTCATTGATCGGTCGGATGGTTCATGAGCAGAAAGGCTTCTCCAGCTAACCCAAGCGAGAACTCGCGGCGAGTCTTTATCATTCCCAGTGATCTGTTACTATGCAAAGCTGGATTGCCATCAGTACACAGATAGACAAAAGTTCCCGAATAGATCATCACAAACATTACGAGCCCGTGATCAGACAAATTCGTGTCAGTTGGTTTTGCTCTGTTCTCCGAGCTAAAAGTGTTGCTAATATTTCGTCTCCAGGCTAGGCAACATCATCAGTGTAAACTCCGGTCTTCAAGTTCCGCAAATCCCGGAAAATTATCCAATCAAATCGCAGTGAGGGTCGGTGAGAATTAAATAGTTATAGGTCACTGGTGAGAGGAACAAGATTATATGAAATGATGAAGAAAGTGAGTATTGAACAGAAAAATCTCGTGATACAACAAGCACGTGAATTGTATCTGGGCTCATTGACACAG